CTATACCTCCCTATACCCCCCTATTACCCCCTATACCCCCCCATACCCCTCCTCATCCCAAAAGTTTCTCTGTGGATTTGGGCTGTACTCAGCAAGCGCAGTACAGCCCCGAACTCAGATTTGAAAACAAATCAGTGGATGGCTGTTTTCTGACTGGTCAACAGACCACCGACTGGTCGGCCCTACTGGTCGGCTGCAACACGGCCGGCAGTCGGCAGGTATGCAACCCTGTTTCTTCCATTTCTGAAAGTTTGTTCTTGTTCCAAAAAGGGTTTTAGGCTTTAGGCTTTTACCCCCCTCAACATAATGGATCGACAGTCTTTCGCCTAATGGATATGCTCAGGATTTGAACTCTTAACCTGTTGTGGATCAACAACCTATACACACCCCTGTACCCCCAAAGTGTGCCAGGCAGCGGCAAAGCACAAGTCGTAGGACATGCTGCACTTGTGAATCATCCTGAAGTTGTTGGTTTTGGTTGCAGACTGTGCACTGTGGAAAGTTTTTGGCAAAGACTCAAAGAGTGCAAATTCAGTCAATTTAAAGGCTGCGAACATCGTCTGAAAACTTTGAATACAGATTTGCGAATGATAGGACCTGCCGCATTGATCAAAATATGAAGACGAGTGTAAATGTGACACTGTTTTCATCACAATGTTCAAGAAACCGCAAAAGGTACGAAATTTCTGAATGAATCTGAATATCAGTCTCTTCTTTGTTTTTGACAATGGAAGGTATGGAACCTGAGGAGAAAAAAAAAATAAAAAAAATGGAATGTGAAAGTCAGCCTCAAAAAAAAAAAAAAAAAAAAAAAGAAGACAAGAAAGTCAGCCTCGACTGTTTGTTGTGAATTGAATCTGTGTGATTGCAGGTCGTGCGAACATCATCAAGCGCTGTTGCGTTTGGAATGGGCCTTCTGGAAGGACATGGATCACTTGGAAAATGCGGCTTAAAACCTTTTGCGATCAAAACGGAGGACGCAGGCCCTGTATCAACCCTCCGTTTTCATGAAGTCTGTGATGCTTATAAGGTAGAGGTCACCCTAGCCATGGTTGATTTGACAATGTCCCCTCTGTTTTCATGGTCTGCGATGGTGATAAGGTAGAAGACACCCTAGGCACCCTTGATTTCACCCCCCACCCCCCACCCTCCACCCTCTCCTCCGTTCTCTCCCTCCGTTTTCATGAAGTCTGTGATGCTTATAAGGTAGAAGCCACCTTAGTCACCCTTGATTTGGCGACAACCCTCTCTCTGCCACCCTCCCTTTCTCCCCCTCCTTTGGCTGGGCACAAGCGAGGCTATGGAGGTATGGGTGTGGGTGGTGTTTGGTGCATGTGGATGGTGGGGTTGGTCCTATGGGTGAATTCACACGAGGCCTTTTTGAGGATGTATGAGGAGGTCGGAGGGAGAGAGGGGGGGGGAGGAGGAAGATGGTGGGAGGTCCTGACGAAACGGAGGAGAAGAAGAAGAATGGATGAGGCGGAGGAGGAAAAGAAGAAGAATGGATGAGGCAGAGGAGGAAAAGAAGAAGAAGAAGAAGAAGAAGAAGAAGAAGAAGAAGAGTGGACTCACCTTCTTCTTCGCACAGATGGCGGCTTGCCGAGGAGCATCATAGGTGTGGGATGCGGCTGGCGACCTGGCTGCACTGCGGCAACGATGCTTGCATCACGACCATGGCTGCACGATGAGGGCAACAATGGCTGGAGGGTGCACATGATCGAAGTGCCTGTGGCACTCTTAACTGCCGCATTCAAATCTGAACGCTGCAGCAGAACTGCAAGATCAACTTGTGGAGCAAATCTCCGCCATCAATCTTGCACAATGGACGGGTGAGGTGGGTCAAAGTTGGAAAAGAAAACGGGGGGCCCTGAATCTTTCTGACAGTGCCTGGCGGTGGGCAAGGCCTCTGCGAGGGTGCCAGGCGCCTCACCTGGCCCTATCTCTCCCCCCCCCTCTCCTCGCCGCTCCACTGGGCCTGGCACTCAGGTAGCCTGGGCGCCTGACCAGGGGATCCGCCCAGCTGGGCGGCTGGGTGGCCTACCTGGCAGTTCTTGAGGGCTCAAGCACCTGGAATAATAGCCTTCATAATTGTAATATTTTAATCTTCAGCTTCACATCACAGTCATACCACTCGTACCTGTATATCCATCAGCATAGGACTTGCAGCTATGACTGTGATGTCTTTTCTTTTTTCCTTTCTTGGAATGGTTGTTACTTCTTTTTTTTATATATTAGTAATAATATTACATGATGGATACACAGCATTGCACATATCTATGCTGGTAAAGACAAAAAACAAAATCTAAAAGAAAAGTAAGATACTCAAAACAATGGACACCTGTGCGATGCAGTACTTCTCATAGAATACATACGTGTTTGATAGACATGGATGACAAGTCCGCGTGTTACCATTCTAATCTGTGCTCAGGTAACGACTTTGTCTTCGTGCCTCTTCTCTTGAATATGCCTCCTGCATCCCACCCACACTCTCGATGCACCGTCTCACAATCCCCAAGGATCTGATCTGTACCTCCAGTTTTGAATTCATGCCCTCCATACCCGCTCTACCCTGCGTCTAGCTAGACATTGCAGCAGTTGTAGAGATTCATCAACCCCGTCATACCGGCTACCTGATGACGCTTGCGCCACTCATGCTTGTCGTGCTGTTCTCTTCCCCGCTGCGTGCTTCCACATTTTAACTTCGCAAGCTGTTCAATCATTCTTCTTGGGCAATCTTTTTTTTGTTTTTCGGATACATACTGATCTAGCTCAGTTGGTGCACCTGTTACGATCCTGGCCAATTTCGAAGTACAAATTCTCGAGAAAGCACAACGCCGTCCAATTGCGAAAGAAATGGATGAACTTGAGGGGAGAGAGCGGTAAAGAAGAAGAAGAAGAAGAAGAAGAAGCAGAAGAAGATGTACACCGGCAAAGACCAAGGATAATTCCCACCTTCTCGTCAACCAAAGTACTCCTTTCCTCCTCCCCTCTTATTCAAACAACAAATAATAATAATAATAATAATGATGAATGGCAGAACCGGAATCAGTGTTCCGCTCTTCTACTGCCAGCACAACTTGAGGTCTACCATAGCCGTGGCCGCCGTTGTCCTTCCTCTTCGTCTAGGCCGAGGCTATGGCAGACTACTAGGGCCTTGGCCTGACGTGCAAAAGACAATTCAAAGCAGCTATGACCACGTCCACTCAGGCCGGCATGCCTGACTCTGCCTTGACACTTCTTGGTGCAGCTCTGCCCCAACGAGTGCCTTCCAGATGCAGCGCCCACCAAGGTGATGAAGGTGGTGTCCGCCATAGCCAGGTAAGTACCCCCGACGCTCCCCTCTCCTTGTTCCTTCTCCCTCCTCCTCCTCCTGCCCGAGCTCCTCCACCATAGCCAAGGTGGAGAGCTGGGCGCTCCTTCTCCCCCAGCAGCGCTGCTCCACCACCTGCTCCAGCAGCGTGTCGCCCAAACTTGCACGCAGCAAACCAGGAAGAGCTGCTGACTCTTCCTGGAGATGTAGCGAGGCAGCAGCCTCCTTGCGCGCAGTGACTTCCAGGCCGTGCGGCCTCCAAGCAACCGGTACCTCTTCACTTTCGGAGGGAAACATCATTGCAGGCTCTGATATCATCCGCACAGGCCCTAGACTACAGACTACTTGGACTGGTACCCACCTAGACCTACAGTACCGTACCGCTACTGGGCCTCTAAAACTGCTACTTTTGTCTTCTTCTGGTCGGCCTCCAGTGGCCGACACATCTTCCGCTACTCGAGTGGTACCGGCCTACCTACTACTTGAGTGTTTTTCCCTGCTGCTCTGAGTGTTGCGGGCCTACTCCCGCCACTTGAGTGTTTTCCCCACTGCAGCCCTCAAAGTCACGGCCACAGGTAAGTACCGGCCCTGCGGGGTCTCCCGAACAAACTAGTGCCCTTGCGGGTCACACACACACACTAAGACCGACAAGCACGCAGACAGGCCACACAGACCAGCAAGCACGTGCACACACAGCCTTAGAGAACTCGGCAGAAAGTGGAAATCTCAGCAAGGCATTCATTCCAGCGGCAAAACTCAGAAATCAGCAAAAATGTTCTCAGTCCGCGTTTTCGCGGTTCCTTACACACACCCATGACCTATTCTCACACATACTTGAGAGTTCGAATCCAGATGGAGTCAGGGTTAACAGAATAATAGAAGTTATAAAAAGTTCTTAAAACATAATAAACAAAAGGTGTCAAAAGCAGAATGACAAAATGAGAGTTGTCACCAGACTCACCACTGGATTGAGTGCTAAGTTGGTACCCCTACATACTTCCAACTTTAATTCGAGACCCCCCAAAAAGCGAAAAATTCATCGAGTGCCACTCGGCGAGTGGCAGAGAGTGCTAGGTTGCTAACCTTTGTGGCGCTTATGGTTTTCTATCGCTAATAACTCAACAGGATGTGAAAAAGGTAATCAAGAAGGCGGTGAAAGCAGAGTTGCGAAGCGTGTACGCGAAGATCGCAGAGTCGTTTTCGCACTGTGAGGAAACAGATATGGCATTTATGACTGCCGAGGGCGTGGAGGCTTTATGGCAACTCTGCAAGCAGGTAAATGGCTGCTGACCAACCTTGTCGGACAGTTGTCGGACTTTTTTTTTTTTTTTTGGCTTGTCAGCTCCCAACAGCCATGCCACTCTTTTGCAGTTCAGTCGCACCTTTTTTCGCTCTTTTGCAAAAGCAGGGTACAAAATGAAAAATGAGCAAAGGTTTGCCAAAGAGCACACTCCTACTGCTCACTCATCAGCACAGTCGAAATATGCGCAGTTCTTCAGTTCAAATCATGGTCCCAGTATGCTGTTTTCCGGGTTGTTTGTTGGGGAATTCTCGTCCTCACTCCTTTTTTTCTATATCTATAACTTTTTTTTACTAAAGAGTAACCTGGGCTAGGTCTCGCGTAACGCTTCCTGGAGGCCCGGCTGCCAGTGTTGGGAACACAGGGGGGATGGGGGGCCAGGCCCAAGGGGAAAATGTAGTGAAGCGCCATCAGCAAATCTCCGGATGAGGGTTCATTCTCATGTTGGACATTGGGTGAGTGGCGGGCCCAGGGCCTTGCTCCACATGCATAAAAGAAAAACAAAAGGGGAAATATATGCGGGAGTCACAAAAATGAGTTATAACTGCACTTCTATGGGGCAAGATACAGTTTCAAACTGCAGTGTGGGCAATGTATACAACCCCAGCTTTCTGGCCAGGTAGGGTGCCTCAAGTGCAATTGAAAACTGTATCTTGCCCCATAATGCAGTTTGAACTCCACTGGAAGCAGATGAGTGAAATACTACAATTTTTCTATTTTTTATTTTTTATTTTTTATTTTTTATTTTTTATTTTTTTGGTTGAAGTACTACAATTCTGAATTACCTAGGGCTGGTCAATTCAATGATGATATCTAAAGAAAAAGAGAGAAAAAGAAAAAGAGAAAGAGAAAGAAAAAGAAAAAGAGAAAGAAAAAGAAAAAGAACTCAGGTCTGTATTTCGGCGGTTCAGGGGTGTACCAACTGAGGTGGGCCAGTTGGTGGCTGGTGCATTTGGGTTTGCCAACTTTGT